ACACACACACACACACACACACACACACACACACACACACACACAGCTACTGTCACATGTTGAGCAGTTTTCTGCAGTAAAAACTTCCTGGAGACTTCTGGTATTCATTATTCTATTTATGCTGTGTGGGCAACAACACAGTGGATTAGTGGTTAGCTGTTGCTTCACAGCAAGAAGCTCTTGAGTTCAATCCCCAGGTTGGACCTGAGGTCTTTCTATGTCTTTCTACATGGAGTTTGCATGTTGTCTTCGTGTTTACGTGTGTTTTTTCTCTGGGTATTCTGGTTTCTTTCCACAGTCCAAATACATGCATGTTGGGTTGCCTCAGCCTCGCTTGTAAAGCAGATCTGTGTCTGAGGGTCCTCCCCCAGAGAATTTTGGATAAAGTAGATGCCATTTCCTGCATTCTGGTGTATGTTACAGAGGTTTATTACAGTAGATTAACATGAAACAAAAGATGTAAACTCATTATTGAAATGACTGCAAGGCGTTCGTAATGCAAAACCGCTGCAGCTCTGCAGGTGAGGGGCGTTCACTTCAGGACAAGTTGAGGAGGTCGCTGATTTATCAGTTGCTTAACTGTCAGGTATAAACATGAACATTAAAAGAAACAAACGTTTGAAATGCATCAGCCTGTACGTAACAAATGAATGTACAAGTTTCACTTCTTGAATGGAATTACTGAAATCAATCAACTTTTTCACAATATTCTAATTTTATGACCAGTATCTGTATTTCAAATGTTCTTTTAATCACTTTATGTGTGATTTATAAGTGTATTAAGTGCAGGATCAGTTCTCATTTAATTAGTAGATCCCACACCGGGGTCAGCTGAGCCTCGTCATCCTCGTCCCTGCTCCGCAGTGAGTCACACATAAGATTATACACAAAAGCGTAGGAACTTATGCACAGTGCAAAACTTTAATTCTACTTGAGTTTTTTAATAAAATTGCCCATGACTTTTAGGGGTTGAGATTTTTTTTAAAGAGCATAAGCAGAAATGCAAAGGACCAGCTCTGATGTGAATTCAAAAAAGTTCAAGACAAAACCAGCTCGGATGTGACATTAGGAAGCTTTGTTTAAAATTATAGTTTTATTTAGTTCTTAGTTTTACAGTCACTCTTTGTCAGGCGGGTTGAAAAATATACAGTGTAATCCTTCAAATGTGCAGACACGGCCGCGCGCCTCCTCCTGTCTGCTCCAGACCAGCAGCTAAATTACTCCCCCCGAACCGGCACTGTAGAACCAATCTGCGCATGCGTCTAACAGAAACTGAAACTTACCACTTGTGTATGTTGACCTGCGTCAAGAGTGAGTCGTTGACAGATGTGGTGGAGATAATCTGGTGATTTT